GTCACAGACCACTGTGAACTTGGGAGAACTCAAGGATCAGAAAGTAACATGAAACAAGGAGAGAAGCGGAGATAATATTGGGTTACCGAACATTCTCAAATTGTCCTGAAACGCATCCCATCCCTTTGGAGGGGGCATGTTTTTGACAAGGAGCACAATGAGAAGAAACTGGCAGTGGTAACAATATCAGCGTTTTCTTTCACTACAGGCCGTAATGTGAACTTCTTAGAAGACACCTCCTTTCACCACGCCTTTGTTGTCCTGTCTATTGAGGAACCCAGAGACCAAAGTTGCTGCCTTGTTCCGGGCCTGTCTGAAAGCAAGGAGCTTGATTCTCCTGGCCAAGGACAGTTGCCCTGTTGTGAATGACAGCGTGGGTTTGCAGCCAAGGGCAGAGGAAGGGAACAGGGAGGGAACGTGAGAGGGAAGAGAGGGAACTGCAAGGGGAAGAATTTGGGGCACACAAGTGAAAGCGGAGGAAATGGAGAGTGCAGGTGGCTGTGGAGAAATGAAAAGGGGGATTTGTGCAGAGGGAGGAAGGATGGGGTGTGTCTGAATGCTCCCTCATTCCAGGATCCAGACCTGTTTCTCTTCAAACATTTACATTTCAACAGTGTGAGAACAGATTCACTTCTGCAGTTATGTTGTTGGAACCAGAAATCTTTTCTCAAATTACTCATTTTTTGAGAGGTCATTTTAGTTATTAATTGGAAACTTGTTTTTTTAAATCTGTGATACCCTACACTACAGTACCCTTTCATGAGCTTTCACTCCAGAGAAGGCGTTGAGTGACTAAGGGCCCTGAGCTATGACCACTTACCCTCAGAACATCATCTGAAAGTGATGGGTTCTCTCCTAAAGCACAAGAAACATCATTACACACACATAATATTTCAACCTAGGGTGCAGAGGACTCAAAGCACATTTAAGTCCATTTCCAGACCTATCCAAGATCACAGGCCCAGCTGGAGAAGTGTCATTCCAGGGGCTGGGAAGAGGGACACATGGTAAAACAGCTTGCCACACAAGATGAGGACCAGAGTTCTGATTCTCAGGAACTACACGGAACTGCATTTGTTTGATGTCTGCCTGTAAATCCAGCCTTTGGAAAGATCAGAGACAGTGTATCCCTGGGATGAGCTGGCTATTTAGGCTAGCCAAACCACTGAGCCCCTGCCTCAGTAAACCAAAATGGAGGGAATTGAGGAAAGTACCTGATATCAGTCTTTAGTCTACACACACATTACCACACCCATTCACATCTACCCACACTCATGTATCTACACACATACAAAACACTAATATAAACATGCATCTCTCTCTCTCTCTTTCACACACACACACACACACACACACACACACACACACACACACACGCATGCATGGACACACCCATGTGCCAAAAGAAAATAAAGTGCTGACACAGGAAGTCTAACATACACTAACATAGACCAAATGACCAGTGTACACTTCCAGCTTTGAATTATGTCCGTGTCCACCTCAGTTGGATGCTCCAGCCAGCCAAAATCTACCACGTGGTCTTTATTCCATCTTCACAGCTCCCGCCAATTTTCAAGAATCATGTGGAGGTGTGCTAATTTCAATTCTGATGTCATACTTGTTGTAGTGGTGGCATACTTGTTGTGGTGGCACTTTGGGTGCTACTTGTTGATGCTTTAAGTGGCACCTGGAAGCTTTTCAACTCCAGACAATGATCAGATGTGATCATGAGGAGAGTCCAGAAGACAAACAAGCTGAGCTTGAATCCCCAAAACAGTCCCCAAGAGTAACTCTCCCTTAATAAACACCGGATGGAGGGTTTCAAGGCACTCCCTAAATCCACAATAAACAAGTCTGTTTCCACTTCTCACCTGACTCCCAGAGTCCGTGTTGTTGACTCCATGCCTTCTTACCCCCAGCACTAAGGACCATCCCGAGGGGCCGAGGGCTAGGGCAACAATATATCCTTGCTATTTGATTTCTTATTGCTCTGCACGAGGAGTGAGAGAGCCTCACTATGGAGTAAAGGTAACAGGGAATCAGGCAAGTTTTTTTTCAGGAGGAGTAAACAGGCATAACCGGGGAGAGTGTGATCCAGTAAGGCAGCAAAAGTTGCCAACACTAGACTCAGCAGGAAAGATGTCACTATCCAGGGACAAGAGCTGGTCCCTGGGGACACCAACACCAGGTGGGAGAACACTTGTGTAGGGTGAACAGGGAAATGTGAACATAGTTCATATCATAAGAACACAACGAAGCTAGAGAGGCATATATATATATGTATATGTACATATACATATATATACACACATATATCATATATATGTGTGTGTATGTATATTTATAAAATCATGTATGTATGTATGAACTGCAGATATCTCTGGGGCTCACTGGCCAGCCTAGCCTACTTGATGAGCCCTAGTCTCAAAATATAAAGTCAATAGTTCTTAAGATCTGACATGCAAAGTTTACTCCTGACATGCCCTAACACTTATACACACACACTTACACACATACTGACACATGGATACACTTACATCTGCACATACACTGACACGTACATACTGACACACACATAGACACACACTTACACATACATTTACACACACACACACTTATACACACACGCTTACACAATACACACATTTTTTTTTTAAAAAAAGAACTCTTAGAAGAAGAGAAAAGCTTGACAATAAAGGAGATCCAGTAAAGTATAAGGAAGTAGTTTTGTTTTGCTTTATTTTCTGAGATATCAAAGTGATCCAAGGGGGTCACTGACAAACACAGAAGTGAGAACCCTGGAGGGTAAAGATGGAGAGTTTTCCTGGGTCACTAGGGGATGGAGTTTACAGATGACCGCTTTGGGATGCAGAGACCATTAGCAGTGCACATTGCAATGTGAAGGTATGTTTCAAGCGTCAAGTTTGTTCCAGAACCAGCGTCGCTCTTCTCACCCTGGGCAGCACGTCTAGAGGGTTTCATATAGTAATTTGATTCATTGTCAGTGCAATACTCTTAAAGGTCTATCCTTGAATAACAGCCAAGGAAAATGAAGCTCACAGAAAGTAATTTTCTTATTTGGGGCATTTGCCTGGCCAGTGGCTGCCTTAGAATCCAAACCCAGATTCAGTGGAAGGATAAAGAACAACAATCATGAAAAATGGTGCTTACATTTGTGCTTAAAAATCAGTTTCATGTCACTAAAGAAATGTCTGGATTTTAACATAAAAGCAAACAAACCAGGGCTGGAGAGATGGCTCAGTGGTTAAGAGCAGTTGCTGCCCTTCTGAAGGATATGGATTCAATTCCTGGAACCCCAGGCTTAGCTCACCACCATTTGTATCTCCAACCCCAGGGGATCTAATGCCCTCTTCTAGTCTCAGTGGGCAGCAGGCACGCGTGTGATACATGGACATACAGGCAAGCACAATACTATGCACATAAAATAATGTTTAAAACAACAGTAAGCAAAGAGTGGTGGCTGTTGTCTCCACCACCATCCATGCCTGACCCTCCTGACTCAGATCTGTGTTATTCCTACTTCTTCATAGCTTTCACATCATTGATTAGCTTACATATGTTGTTTAATCTGCCCAAGACTTATTCTCCAATTTTGCCAAAATGAAGCAATTGCATGTAACACATTCACATGCTTTTCCTTGATGTGTGAGTGTGTGTTATACACGTGTGTGCCAGCGTGTTTACTCATGCACGTTTTTATGATGGCTGCAAATCACCTATGGGTCTTTTTCCTCTACTGTTTCCCACATTTCTTTTACCCTCTTCTTCCTTCCTCCCTCTCTCCCCCTCTTCCTTCCTTCCTTCCTTCCTTCCTTCCTTCCTTCCTTCCTTCCTTTCATTCATTCTCTTTCAAACAGGCTACCTCAATGATCATGAAGTTCTCCATTCAACTATGCTGGTTATCCAGCCAGCTCTGGAAATCATTTTTGTTCCTGACAACATCACCCACCAAGTTCTAGATCTTGCTACACCAGCCTCTGCTTGGATGCTTGGACTCAGGTCTCCAAGCTTGTGCAGTAAGCACTTTACCCAGAGCTGCCTCCGCAGCCCCATGCTCTGATCTCATTCAGCCTTCATCTCTGGTGAGCTTGCAACACTTCAGACACTATGGGAGATGTAAAACTGGCCTTGTGACCTCCAGGCTTCTCCATTGGCATGGCTTTTCCAGAGCAAACGCTAAGTCACCTATCTGCTATGTGGGTGGTGTAGCACAGCCACTGACAAGATGCAGAAGTGTTGACTGAATTTGTAAGAGCCTTCACTTCTTGCACTTTGGGTTCTAGACTTTTCTATAGGAAATGAAAAGCCCTCAAGGGTTTCCACAAACGCTGCAGCCTTAACGTCGTCCTCCCTCTCAACACTGTTAGTTGAGACGCTGCTGTGCACAACGTTCCTTTTAGTCTCATTTCATTCATGACTCCAAACGAGTTTGAATATTGGTAGTTTACTGTATGTGAATCACTCTTCAGCACATGTACCTAATAAAGCCCTGCTCAGCTCTGTTAGATAAGATGGCATGAGTTCCCTCTGAGAAGACAACCCCAAAACAGAATCAAATAACTCAAACGGAGCCCAATCTTCAAGGCTTTACTTTAGCCTCTGTGGGATCCCTCTTCTTTACCCTAGAGATGTTTATCTGGAATGTTTTTGAAAGGAAGGGAGGAAGGTGCAGTAAGAAAGGGAAGGAACAGGGCCTCTCACTGTGAAGAGTCCATACTTACCTCTTTTCTGAGTGCACAGGGAGAAACTGAGCCACAGGGCAGAAAGCCAACAGCCCTCTGAGTTCACTAAAGGGCACGGACTTTCTGAGGCACACAGCCTGCTCCTTACCACAGCCAACTCCCAGACCAAAGCCCAAAGCACTCTTTTTCAAGAGTCTGAACTTGAGTTTTCAGTTTCCTTAAGTCCAGGATTTCTGTTGCCAAGAAGACCGAGATGGAAAGTTGGAGATGAGAGTCCTCTGATTCATGAGTCCCTTTCTGAGACAGTTCATTCAGTAGTCGGGGTCTCATGGGGCACCCCTGCAGAAGTTAGCTGGATGTGTTTAAAAGATTTATGCCCAGAGAAATTGGCTTATAAATATGAGCAGTCAATGAAGGCAAGGTGGAAGGCAGTCTGGGGGGAACTGCTCTGTCTACGTCAGCGGCTGCCTCCGTGATTGTTCTAATAGGTGCACCTCTCCTCCGCTAGTGTCTTCGCTGGATGTGTCTGATCCCACAGCATGGGGTCATCCATTGCTCTTCATTTAGTTAATGCCACAGTCCCCAGGGGCCTGTAAACTGTAATTGGACAGTTGGGATTAGAAGGTTAAGAAAATTGCCACACAGCCAGGCCTCATAACTCCACAGGCAACTTTTTACTGGCTGCTTCTTTCTTAAAGCTCTCTTTTAAGAGTCTCTGGAGAGCCCTAGTCCTGTCTCATGCTCCATCAAGAGAGAAGCCCTGAGATGAAGCCATCACAGCCCGTAGCAGTCTCAGCAAACACAGGCACGGTCCTTCAGTTTTCATTAAAGAAGGATTTCTAGGAAATGAATGGAGACGTGAAAGTTGTAGTCAGGTTACTGAGAAATAAAGAAATATAAAGAGCCTCTCACGGGCTCTAATTGCAATCCTAATGTATCTTAAGTGCAGCATTTAACGCGTGGTGGAACTTCTGCAAGTTTGCCTTTTTTCTTTTTCCTGGAAATTCTACTTTTACTTACTGTTTGTTTCAGACCACTTCACACGCTAAAAACCTTCAGGAAGCTCTCAGTGGCCCTGTTATCCTAGAGAAGTGTAGTAGAAAACTGGTGTGGCATCCAGAGGAGGCTGAACAACAGGTGGAGCTGGGCAGGAAGGCAGGAGTGCCAAGCCCCAGGAGCCCCACAGAGCGGAGCTGGCTTCCCTCTCCAATGCCTCAGGTCTGGTAGTTTCCTCTTTAGTTGATGGTCAGCACCCGATCTACATGAACATAAACCCCATAGACTGAGCCTGACACACCCAATAGCTGTTGCCAGGGTGGGAGCCTGGGGGTAGAGTGATATGAAATGCTATGAAATCACTAGATCCTCACAAGAGGGCTCAAGGTCTCTATAACAAAGATAGGTTATCTATATTTTATAAGGTGTTGGAGTATTTGGATATGGCACCCAGGGACTTTCAAGGAAAGCCAGCAGCCAACAGGAGAAAATGTGGTTGGTGTAAGCTGTAACCTAGTCTCATCTGGCCAGACATACTACATTCAGTGGAAGTTTCGTGTGTCCTTAGTGGCACCTCTTTTCCTGCAGTACTCCTGCTGGTCCTGACTACAGATCCAGAAGGCTCTAGAATATCTCCTTAGAACAAGGATATCCCAAGGGGTCCAGGGAGTGTTGCCAGACCCTGGAGGATGGCAAGGGGAAGTCTGCTCGGCATCTTCCAGGAAGGTGCTATGTTCTCTGTTCCGGTTTGGGGAGACGGATAGAGAGGATGATATGAATAGAAGGAGAGAACGAGAGATTCTTAGAAACAGAAGCAGACTGAACTTCTCACACCCATTGGTGGCAGTACAAACGTAGACTAGTGTCCATCATGGTCCAGAACCACAGGGCTTTAGAATTATCTGGTGGGAGCTGACTGTGAGCTCCTCCCCTTGATTCCGTGAAGCTCCTCCTCATGATCAGTCAAACATCTCCTTACTAGCATTTGTGACCGAGGCACCCATGGCCAAGCACTCACAACCATGTCTGGGTCACTCCTACAGCAGAATGGAGTGTCTAGAAGGTGTGTTCTGGGGACTGGAGAGATGGCTCATTGGTTAAAAGCATTTGTTGCTCTTGCAAAGGACATGGGTTTATTTCCCAGCACCTGTATGGAGGCTTACAAATGGCCTGTAACTGCAGCTTAAGAGGATCAGACTCCTTCTACACTCAAAGACACCAGCACATGCACACGCAGCGCACATAAATGCTTGCAGGTGCACACACATACACATAAATAACAACAAAATAAGAAATAAAAATAGAATGTAAGTTCTAGTCTACAAGGATCTTGAGAAGCAGAATATTAAGATCTAACCCGTGCCCTCATCAAGAAGATGCCAGAGCAGGGACTTGGAGCGAGGTAATCTGGTTATACAGGCCACATTCCATGTTACTTGGCTTCCGTAAGGCTAAATTAAACAAACTCAGGAATACGTCATGAGGAATAGTTGCTATCATGTCAAGACATCAGAACAGGCCACTGTCCTCAAGCATGGCTTCTGAAACTAGAACAGGCAATATATCACCATGTAACTCAGAGGGCTCCAAAACTCTGATCTTGCATCCTAAGTTCTAAAACATTCTTAAGTATATAAATATATATCCTACATTAGCATAGAGTCACATAGACACATGTAGTTTATAAACGTCGATCTCTGTGAATGAGATATTTGTCTTCTTGTATTCACACACATATTATATTGACATAAGAGTTTTAAAGGGAGTAAAAATAAAATGAGTCTCTGATCATTATGCCTGCTCTTTGGGGACTGTCTTGATCATTCAATATTGAGGGCCTCCAAGAAGCCACCTTGCTCTTGACTATTGAAAAGACATTTCTGGCTACCAGATGACCCCTGTCTTACTTTATCGCAAAGATTCGTGATCGTTTCTGCTCAGTCTGTAAATGAAGTCATCAGATGACACAGAATGGACCCTGTGGGATAGAAGGTTCAGAGACAGGCTGGTCTGTGAGAGCAGCCACCAGCATCATTATCCCTTCTGCACTCAGCCTCTACTTCCACATCAGCACCCGTTCCTGGACCCTCTCAGGTGCCTGGTAGTGGCCAACCTTTCGAGCCTAAGTCTCTCTGTTGTATCTGTCATGTGTGCGCGTGCACATGTGTGTGAGTGTGTGTGTGTGGGTGTGGCTAGGCATGCACATGCATGCTGCAATTTGAGCCTAATCTACAGAATTTTCAGGGCACCTTTTGGTCAACATCAACATGGAGTCATTAACACCCCAGATGCTGAAGTACTTGGAAGTTTCAGTGGGAAACACTCAGGGGTGTGTCTAGTATAACACTGGCATGTACCGGGAGCTAAACAGGGTCCTATCCAACCATGGAGCTGGACTCCAGAAGGGGAGAGCCAGTTCCTTGTCACAGGGGAAAGTGAGGCAGGCTATCCCTCAGCGTTCTTGCATCCCTCCTCACCTCAAGGAGGGTAGAGCCAAGTGGAGGCTAGCTTTCTGCCTTGCTGCTGAAACGGGGATGTGGCTTCCTTATGAAAAGGTGGCCTCCGATGGCGGCTTCCTCTGATTCAGTCACTCAAGCCCACTGAACACACAGGCAGCAGCCCCACCTCCCACATATCCCCTTTGCACTCCTGAACCTCTCTGACCACTTGTGAGGGAGTGCCATTCCCAGGCCAGAAGAGGCAGGCGGGGGAAGGCCGCCCCTGTGGGGCTGAAGGGCAGCTGTTTATATTATAATTAAGGTCTTACAGCAGAAACTGACATGTAGCTTGGCTATTTCAACAAGGCACTGGAGGTAATTACCACTGCTAGAGGCAGTCTCTACTGCCAATTACTTCTCTCTAATTGAATGACTCGGGCCACACTGTCTGAGACCAGGGAGAAGAGTTTGCTTTCCAATATGGACACTCCTGCAGGATCTCAGCCCAGCAAGAAGTTTAACATCCTCTTACCCAGCTGGCTCCCAGCCTGCTTGCATCTGGGTGGGTGGGACAGAGAGAAAGAACTAGAGTTCCATCACTTACTGGCTCAGGTGGAGGGAGCTCCCTACATCGGTTCGCTTGTCTATAAAGGATGAGGGGTAAATGAAATGCTGCTTGCATTAGTCAGCTTTCCATAGCTCTAAAAAGTTACCTGAAGACAGTCAAGTTACAAAGCTGAAAGGTTCGTACTGGCTTCCTGCTTCATTGGTTTCCAGTGCATAACAGGGCCTATGAGACACATCACTGTGGAAGCCCATGGAAGAGGAAGTCTGTCACTTCAGGGAGGCTAAGAACACTAAGAGACCAACAAGAAGGAGTCAGGGCCCCAATATCCCCTCTAAAGATGTCTCCAGTGACTTAACTTCCTCCTATCAGATCTAACCTGAAATTTCCATCAATGGCACTGCAGGCTAAGGATCAACCTTTAACATAGCGCCTTTAGTAGACACCTAGCCAAACCATGGTAATTCTAACCCAAGCACATGGAGAACATTTAATCATGTCTCACCAAAGTACAACAATGCTGACAGGCATAGCTAGGAAGGAACCCGGGGTTGTCTTTTACCTATACATATGGGAGAAACTGAGGCAGAAAGTATATCCAAATCCCACAGAAAGAACTTGAGAAATGAGGTGCACAGCAGAGGAAGCACGTGACTACTTGGCCTGGTAGAAATGAATTCCTTTGGGTTGTAGTAGGAATGGCCCCTCCTAAAAGGCTGGCACATCTCCAAGATGCCCAGCCCAGGGCATTTGTGCTTTCCTCTCACCTCTGTATGTTCATAAAGTCCCTCTCATTCTCTGTGGTGCTACAACTGCCTCCGTGGCTCAGGCAGCTTCATGATGAATATCACATCCGTGTTCACAGCACTTTGAATTTCTTAAATCTACCACCATATTCACTGGTCCTTACAGCCATCCTCCTGGTGTGCAAACCACAGAATGGGGGCCAAGCAAATGCGAGGAAACCACATAAACCCAATCTAGACAAAAACACAAGTCACTGCTTCCAGTTTTCTCCACTAGTCCTCTGGAAGGAAGCCATCTCAGCTCCCAGAGTAACCACAGAAGCCCAGCCTTTAGCTGACTGACACCTTTGATTTCAAAATTATACCATGTGGTTATAGTATCTCAGAAGCCAAGGACAGTGGTTCTCCGACTTTGGCGTTTGTATATGTGTTAGTTATGACTGTGATAAAACATCAAAAGTGACTTACGAAAGAAGCTTGTTTTAGTGTGTGGTTCCAGAACAAGTCCATAATGGCGTAAAGGCGCAGCACCGGGTGTTTGGGACGGGTAGCTGAGAGATCACATCTCCAACCACAAACAGGAAGTAGAGAGAGTGAACCGGAAGTGGGGTAAGACTATGAGCCTGCATAGCCTGTCTCCAGTGGCTTACTTCCTCCAGCAAGGCTCACCACCTGAAGGTTACTTTAGCTCCCCAGACAGCACCACCAACCAGGCACTAAATGTTCAAGTCCCTGAGACTATGGGGGAACTTTTCCCACCCAAACCACCACATTACAAGATTCTCCGGGAATGTGTTCAAAATGTAAGTTGCAAAGTCACATCTCTAGGGGCTTCTGATTGTCTAGCTCTAA